AAAACTTGAATTTCAAATGTGCTTTAATTGTCTAATGAGGAACCTGTTAAATTCTAGAAAGTTAGGTACATGTTTTTTCTTCCTCCTGCATTAAGCAGAACAATGTAACTTAGGGGAAAAAATGGAAGTACTAGCATGAGTGAGCTAAATAATGCAGTAAACTGTCAATCTCTCCCATTTGCCTTGAGAACATGGTTATGTGCTTTATTAAAGTGTGTAAAGCCTACAGTGTCAATAATTAAATGTGGTTTTATATTTGAAAGTTCTTTCTTGCCTGGAGCTTGTATCTTTCTCCATGTTTTGGTGTGCAGACTTGTTAAAAAATAGAGCTGGATTATGTAGTTTCGGTTGTTTTCTTACCTGTAAAGTTAAGAGGGCTGGGTGAGAGAGGCTCAAAGGTGTAATAATTTCTATCTCAAATACTGTGATCCTTGAGTCTTGAGAATGTTGGCTTTACATACCTCACATTTCGGGAATATAATTTTTCTAGTCTTAGGTTGTTGCTGCTATAAGCAAGCAAGCATTTGAGGGGTAAACTTAATAGCATTTTTAGTAGAAAGAAGTTGATGATTAAGATAGTGGAAGGAAAAAGTCCTGTTGCTTTTATTGCCTGAATTTTATACATGTTTGGTGCCCAAAACAGATCTGAGTGTTCTTTATCTAGCTTCCCGCTTTACCTGTCATTTTTGCACTTCAAACCAATACAAAGTGGGGACTTCTCTGCTGATCATCCTGGAACTGGTTCATTGTGACCAAGATGCCTTCAGTATCTAAATGCAGAGGTTATATCAGCCTTTAAAGAGCAGACACATAATTTAAGTTTTTATGTTCTTTTTTTGGTGTGTGTGACTAAACATTTGTTTTCCTTGCTGGGTTAGAGTTCTTTTTCTAGTTAAGATTTCTAGAACTCTCAGACTTCTTCAGATTTAACTCCAGTTGATTTGAGTTATAGAAATTGCTCTAACTTGTGTGGTGGCTTTAAAATAGCTGCTACTGCTGCTTTACTCTGGTCTGAATGGTAACCTGAAAACTATATCACAAAGTTGGAATCATTATAAAAATTGGTCTTGCATTTTAGTGAAATGAAGAACAAACCTTATAAGACAATCTTTCTAAATGGTACTGGAACCAATACTGTGAGACATATTTTGAAACAGTGATTTAATCATGTTCAAATAATTAAGAATGTTAACTCATGTACGTTCAAGAGTGCAGTGGTATTCTGGGAGCAACGAGTTAGTGCTTACAAGTCAGAGTAGCTGCTATTTATTGGATAGTTGTGTACTTGGTACTCAAAACAGTCTTGAGAGATAGGTATTGTTATTCCTATTTTACAGGTTCAGTGAGGAGAGGGAACTTGCTCAAGGTCATAAAACTAGTTAAGTGGCAGAGCCAGGATTTAAACCCAATTTAAAAATCTGTGTTTTTAACCTCTGCTATTTTGAGATTTTGTGTTGTCTTCCCAGTTCTAGTTGTTGATGCTCATTTTACACTGGTTTAGCTTTGGCACTGAAGTAATGGTATTTTGAGGAAGTAAGAATATTTCTTAGTTTTCAGCTAGAAGTAGAACTTCCAATGCCCTTAGACTTAAATTTACTCTTAATGGTTGTGCTTCTATTTCAATATATCTATTCAAGTTTCAGTTTATATAGGTATAAGTTCATTGAAAATGTATTTCAACCCTAAATAAGGTAAATCTTCAAGTAGTGGAAATAGTTGCTTTGAATAAACATCTTTAGAAGGCAAGAAATGAACCAAAGTCGTATTATAAATCATTGTACTGAGTTATTGTGAATGACCTTTATCACAGTCTTTCATTTAAATTTTTTCTTTTCCCATTTATAGATGGATGCATTTTTCTGACTACCCTTAAGACAAGGTGGCTTCTATATTCATGTTTTGCTTTATACAGGTTTTATAGTTTTTGTGATAAATTACATCTATAAAAATTCTGCCAATTTTGGCCATTTTCACATAATTGAAAGTTAAAATATTTAGTGTTTCAAAGGAAGGAGTGATGTTTCTATTTAATTTTGGAAATTTTAAATTGAATTGCTTATATAATGTCAGTATAATCTACATGGCGTATTTGTAGTTCTCGAAAACTAGGGTTTCAAATAAGTTACTATGGAGGAAACTAAATTTTCTTTTGTCATAAAGGGCAGTGGGAATTAAATGTCTAATAGGCTGGAAACTCCAGTTAGCACTTAACATCCTCTGGAATGATGCCCTTTCCCATCCTAATCCTTTGCAGATGCAGTCCATTCACTCATCAAATGCATTTCTTAAATTTGGTGTCCCAAACAAGGAAAGCAACCCCTGTCCTCAAGAAGTTCACATTTAGTGGGGAAGACAGATACTTCAGTAGATTATATAGTATTAACAAAGGATTAAAGGGGTTGAGAAGAAGTGAGATTGTATTTAATGTGACAGTGACATGAGCAGAATTCTAGGCCAAGGAGCAGCATGACCAAAGTGGTAAGAAACAACGTGATTGGAGGAATTAAACTTCCTGAGTTGCTTGACTAAGTGGCAAGAGATGAGATCTTAAAAGACTAAGGAAATTTGGTATTATCCTCTAAAATGCCCTGAAAATTAGGTTTCTAACAGAGCTCTTAAATTGGGCCTTAAGAGCAAAAAAGTCAGAAAACATTTGAGTGCCCATTTTTTACCTTGCTTTTTGGTAAAAAATGAAATGCAGTTTAAAAAAAAATGTGGATGTAAAATGTGGTTGGTACCTTCAAGAAGCTCAGATGAGTGAATAAATGGTACAGCAATATGTGTTAAGATGTAGTGTACAAAAGGACAACTGAGCATTGCAATTGAAAAAATTCTTTTTCATTAAACTTTAATAAATAATAATTAATTTAATAGAAGAACTTTTTAGTCATGTCAAGCAACTTAGGTCATCATTTCCAACAGAAGGTCTGAGGAGATCCAGAGAAATTAGGTTCTAGAACTAGAACCAGGATTCCTACTAAGGATCCTGAGCTTTTCACTGTGTAGTTCCTGTGTGGAGTGTTCCTCAAGAGAGGTGGGGGAAGTAACTATCAACTAATACTGTTACAAGGTTTCTTACATTGAGCTGGCACTGAATCTGATCACCAAAACTAAGCAGATAATGTTTACTACTTCATTTTAAAGCCTTTAAGTAGCTGAGTTTTTCCTTTTGCAAATTACAAATCCCTGTTTATTCAGCTGTTCTTTATAATGACACACTCTTCACCATTTTGGTTAACCCTCCACAGCAGCTCATTGGATGTTGATACATGGTATCCAGAAACTGTGCCATTGTTTTACTCTGATCCCCAGCATTATCATGTCTGCAGTTTCAGAACCTATACAGTAATTAAAGATTTAAGATTTAAAACTACCTCTCCTAGATAAATTCCTTCCCCTGGTTCCATGATCTGAGTAATACAGAAAATGGTCATCTTTGCATTATAATCACAGTGCTGTTTTTCATGGCATCTGTTATTAAAAATCACTATTTTGCTAGAACATGGAAGGTTTTTGATTACTGATCCCCCAAAATCGTCTTTTTGGTGTTGTTAGAAAATACTTTCATTCACTCTTTAAATTGTGGTAAAATAACAAAATTTACCATCTTAACCATTTTTAAGTATATGGTTCAATAGTGTTAAATATATTCACATTGTTCTGTACCCCATCTCCAGAACTTTTCTTCCTGTAAAACTGAAACTATACACACTATTAACTCCCCATCCCTCCTTCCCCAGCCCCTGGCATCCACCTTTCTACTTTCTGTCTCTGAATTTGACTATTATAGGAACCACATGTAAGTGGAATTAATAGTCATATTTTTTAAATTAGCTTTCCTAATAGAATGGTATCTTTGATATAAAACTCAGCTTCTTATAACAGAGCATATAGTTGGAGCATATTTTAGAGTTTGTGTCTTGACCCAGTAAGGTTAAGTAAGAAGATAATTCATTGTTGGTACACTAAAGAAAAGCAGACGGCAAAATTCCTTAAGAGCCTTTATCTCTAAAGACAAGGTTGTGGCTATGCCTTCCTCCACTAAGCCTCAAACATGTTTCAGAATTCACCCCCACACCTTTCATTGTGCATATTTATAGAAGTTGTCATTGTGCTTGAGTTCTGACCCTCTGTCTTTGAATTTTAAGGGTGTCAATCTATAAAACCAGGAGTTTATAAAACTTGGTTTAAGTGTAATTGATGGTATGTTTCTCTTAATCCTTTCATTTGACTTAGTATCCACAGTGCACCTAAGGCTCTTCAAAGCCAGGCTATTTAGAGGGTTTATGTATCTCTAGAGGAGGAAATTTAAACTTTTAGATTTAGAATATGAAGTAGGGAAATGGAAAATAACATTTGAGATGTTAAAATGCCTTACCTTACCTAGTAGGAAGTACTTAAAATCATTGAGTCAAGCAGATACATAAACTTGTAATTATAGGCTCTTTCATAAAAAGGCATCTTTTGAATGGATCAGTTAATTTTTTCCCATCCCCTTCTGTGTAATGCTTAATTTACTGTCGTCATAATTTGTATATTGTAGTGTAATTATATTTAAAAACCACTTTGCTTTGAAAAAACTCAGTAATATAATAACCTTGCTTATCAGGTATACATGTGTATGTGTGTATAGCAGTAACAATAAAAATGTAAAACATAGTTTTGGTTTGTGCACATGTGATACCATCTCTGTGTGTAAAATATAGTCATTTGGCTCATTTTGCTGTTTTATGTGTGTTTGGGGAGGTGAGAGGTTTCATGGGAAAGAATAGTGCTTGAGCTGTTATTGAGGTGAGTAACACGAGAACTTAAGTTTGAAATCCTTTTGGTTTAAGCTGCACTTTGCTGTAACAGAGTGGAGGTTTTTGGCTGAGGGGGGTTGTTGAGAAAAAATTTTCTGAGAGCTAGTTGTAATTCTGTTAATGAAATAGAAGTGTTCTAATAAATTAAGAACTGTCCTACATTTTTGTGATCTTAATTAGAGTTTCTTCTTTCTACAGAAATAGGAAGGTTGTTGATTATTCACAGTTTCAGGAATCTGATGATGCTGGTAAGTTTTGTGATTTCAATAAACTGCAAGTTAGAACAACTAGTTAGCCAGCTTATGTACTTTTATTATGATGCTTTTGGAATGAGTTTTATTTTTAAGATGGCATATATGTCTGTAAATTATGTCAAGATCTGTGTCACTAAAAACAGTTGGACTTGCATGAGTTTTAACTTCTGCTTAGTAAATCATTGATAATAAACACTTGAATAATTTTTTTCTTAACCTGGTTTTGGAGTCCAAAGTTTAAATGTGCAGTAGTTCTCTTGCAGTGTTTATTAGTTAACTTACCTCCTGCTATAATCACAGTAAAATTTGTATCTTGTAATAGGGAGTATTTTTTTTTGCAATAAACTAACTGAGATAAGGGTATTTTGTGACATCTTTGATTCGTGAATTAATTCATCATAGAATGAGTAGTAGTGTATCTTAAATCTTAGCCATAAAAGGTTTCTTTAGACTATGTCCTTAATCTCATTATTACCCACATGCATTTGCTATTCTTTTTTCTTTCTTTTTTGAAATCTAATTTTACTTTATAAAGATAATAAATGCACTTTGGTAAAACTTTAAAAATGTGGAATTGTGAAGAAGAATAAAAATAACAACATATAACCCAACGTCCCAGAGGTAATAGTAACATTTATTAAATGCTTGCTAAATGTTTGCGTTTACTCATTTAATCCTTATAACAATCTTGTTAAAATGGGATATACTATTATTTCCATTTTACAGTAAGAAAAACTGAGGCAGAGATATTACTCAAGTTCCCCTAGCCAGCATATGGCCATTTTAACCTTCTGGTAGAAAAGCCTTTTGTCTTTTTTTTGTTTTTTGTTTGTTTGTTTTGGTTTTGGTTTTCCTTTTAAAAATATAGTTCAAGTCTTGCTGTAGAATTTTGGGTCTGTCCTCCTCCCACCCCACCCCACCCCTACCTCTACTTAGGAGTATCTTTCTCATGTTACTCAAAGTTACTTGAAGAATTCCTATTGATGGTTGTGTGATACTTCGTGATGGAATTTATAATGTATCCAACCATTTAATAATTGCTGAATCTCCAGACTACTTGCAGATCCTCTCCATTATATATGGTATATAGTAAACCGTTTTGGAAATAATCACCTTTTAAGGCAGGGTAATTTTCTTTATGTTTATAGGGCTTTTGAAATTGGGGGTATTTTCAAGTACCAGAGTAGGCTATATTTAATAATTTAGTTTAAAAATAATTTACTTGATAACAGTAATTGTTAGAACTGTAGAATTGTGGATTCTTTATATTCTAAAATGCTTGTAATAAAACCATATTGCTCTAATAGCCTTCAAATAAATAAGATCTTGAAACATGGGAAAATCTTGAATAAGTTAAAAGGGTAGGATATAAAACGATAAAAGCTATTTGGTTGCAGGTATAATAAATGACACCAAAGACTAGAGAAGACTGAAGTAGAATCTTTTTTTTTTAATGAAAGGAAATTATTTGGGAAATCCTGTCCCCCTCACTATTTATATAGCGCATGAGAGAATTATCTCATTAAATGTGGTTGTAATTTCTACGTGTAAAAATCATAATGTAATTCATTGAATTTAAAAATGCTTTGTTTAGATGAAGATTATGGAAGAGATTCGGGCCCTCCAGCTAAGAAAATTCGGTCATCTCCCCGAGAAGCTAAAAATAAGAGGCGATCTGGAAAGAATTCACAGGAAGATAGGTGAGAGGCATTGTCAGTCTGTTCCTGGTTATACTGTCACTACCCTGAGATGAGTTTAGGCCGTGATCTCCGAATTGGTGGCCTCCCATTTATTTTGGGAAAGTCCTTATTGTCTGCTTAATGTTGTTTTGCGTATTTCCGATTATCTCAGGCAGTGCTTCTGAGCCTAGAGGTTAGCCTTTTTAGGTCCTGAGGCTTGCTTGTACTCAACCTGGAGTCCAAGGTGATCTCCAAGAATGTGTTTGTTGCTACCTCAAACCTCTGAACAAAAGCAGAAAGAATATTTAAGTGTGTAATTTGTTACCTAACATTAGAATTGACATTTTTCATTGTAGTGTTAGCAAAGAATACGTGAAGTGACCTTTCCGATTCACAAATCACTGGCAGAATCCTTGCTAAAGCTTATGTTGTGTGGCCTACCAAGTTTTACTATAATCAATTCTTCTTTTTGTTTAGATAATCTAATCATGTTGTGCCATTTACTTTCCCTTAGTTTTATGACTTTAAGTTTACTTGCCTCCCGAGACCAGGGTGTCGTAGCTTTTGGCTCTGCTATTACAGGTGTACACACCTCATATTCAGGGTAGTGTAACTTGAAGACCTGCTGGGTGATGGTGGTGATAATAATGATGGTGGTGGCTACCATTTATGATTATTTGCCAGTTTCTGTTGTGTGCTAATGTACATTTGCTATCACTTAATTCTCACATCTTTATTAGGGTAGGTAATACTGAGAGGGAGTTCAGTGTTTTACCTCAGGCTGCCCAGCAAATGGACCACACAGGTTTTGGAACCATGTCTGTTGGACCCCAAAGTCCATTTTTTAACCATTGGGTTATACCACTTCCAAGTACTATTAAGTATGAGTAATTCAGAGAAATGAGATACTGTTTCTCACTAGTTCTAAGGTATTTCCTTCCTATTTACTAAAATATTTACTAAAATCACTATAATAAAGTCCCAGGCAGAAATTTTCCATTGTGAATTCATAGGATGTTAAATTTATAGAAATAAGAGTATTAAATGCATACATGTACCTATTATTTTCTATTTGCTTATATTACTAACCTCTACTGCTTTTCTTCCCTGGAGAATTTTGGAAAAGTGGTTTTGAGGAAAAATAAGACAAATGATAATGTGGGGAGACAAGTCTTCACAGTTTTATGGCATATCTCTAATCCAGTTTCATATAGCAACCCAACTTTAGAGCTATCTTTCAATATATTCATTTATTATCTCTCTCCTGGCAAGGAGCTGCTTTGTGGCCTGTTTCCTGTTGTAATGTGTCATTGATGTAATTAATAGCTAGCCTAAATTTTTCCTTCTTACAATCATTTGGTTTTATTATTCTCACCTAAGTGTCAGGAATGGTTAAAATAAATACAGCTCTTACTGCCATTTGTATTAAGTGCCTTGTATGTTTATTCCCTCAGACCAGTTGATTTTTCTATTGGTCTCTACTTAAAAGATCAGCTTTTACTTGACTTTGCTGTAATGGAGCTCAAGGATTAATGGTCTCTATAAACTCAGTAGTAAAAGAACTAGAGAAATAGTAGTTCTTCATCATTGTAATAGATAAAATGCTTATTTTGCATAAAACATTTATATAAACAGCCACAGGTTTCATAATTATAGTGTGTCTTTGATCAGATTACTTAGTAAAGAAATGTTTGTTTTTCTCTTTCCTTAGGAATCTTCAGTTCAGTCATTTCTCATTTGAATGTTGTCTAGATTATTGGAAATACTAAACAATTTACAGGTGTTTCTTCTTTTGTTTGTCAGAATTTCTTACAGGATCAAAATATTTTTGCACTGAAAGGAGTACCAAGTGATTTGCCTAAGATCATATGACTAATTAATGACAGAGACAGGACACTAAAACCCAGATTCCTGAGTTAAGATTTATGAAGACATAAATGTATATCTTTGTGTCTTTAAAAAAATTGTTTTATGAAACTCTCCATTGACCTTTGAAGCTCCTTAAGTCCTTATTTTACTTTGCATTAATCTTGAGCTCATTTTTATTTGCTCCATGATACAAGGCAGGTCCATGTGTTGGTGTTTCTGATACATAGAAATATTGGGAGACAAAAAATGTTAGGAGATAATTAGTTAATTGATTTTTTTTTTTCATTCTGTTTTAGGGTAAATTTTTAGGGATATTATAATTTATATAACTGAACTCAAGTTTTCTTTAATAATTGTATTTTAGGTATTTTTTTGCATCTGTGTTTGGTGCTTCCATTTGTCTGCCTACTTTACTACCACTGATACATTATGTAATTTATTTTTACTATTTTATACTCTGCCTTTGATAGCAGAGGATTATTTCTCTTACCAAGTGTTCTTATGAACCAGGCCTTGCCCAGAGGTGAGACTTCTCAGCCTGTGTTGAGACATCTTTTTTACTTTGGGTCTTTGGAAACATTTTTACAAACGTAGATAAAATTGTGCTTATTCACCAGCGTCTCTGTAAAAGAGGGAAATAATGGAAGCAGTTTCACTTGGCATCTGTTTGCATTTTATGTATAAAAAGTATTCTCCAGTGTTCTTTTCCTGTCAGATCCCAGAGATGTATGTTCACTTTGATTTTGATCTAAGAGTTTTAACCTTTTCCCTCTGTACTCTTACAGTGAGGACTCAGAAGAAAAAGATGTGAAGACCAAGAAGGATGATTCTCACTCAGCAGGTATTAAACAGGTGTTAATGTAATAGGTATAATTCTGTTTATGTATTTATTGACTGGACACTTTAATAAGTGGTTTCATAATAATGTCAGGCACTGTTATAAATACTGGCACTGCAAAGCTGTTTCCATTTCAAGGAACTCGTCCAATCCTGGTGGCTTATAGTCACTGTATCAGTTGTTTTTAAACCTACTTGAGCTCCATCCCACTCCAGGATTTCTGATTCAATCTAAGTGGGATGTTGGGGCTTTGGTTTTTTAAAATATTTACAGATGATTCTCATGCATAGTTAAGATTGAATACCATTTGTGTGAACAAACAAGAGACATCAAACTAAATAGAATAATAAGAATATACCTTGAAACACAGGTATAAAAAAGGGTGCGTGGTTGACTGGTTTGAAAACGAAGCAAATTGTTAGTTTCAATCCTACTAATTTTCACTGGAAAGTAGTGCTTTGAAACAGCCGCAGAGAAAGATTTTTGTAAGAATTTTAACTTATAAGAATTAATGGAAAGACCCAAATAAAATAAATATTAAATAAATACTAAATTCTGATTACCTGTTGTTAAATTTAACTCTTCCAAGAATTGAGTTTATTCCGTATGGTTCACAGCCACTGGTTTTGACCTACATTCCCCTGCTTTTGCCTTCCTGTGTCGCCCTTTAAAGGAGACGCTGTTTAGCTGACCCCTAGAAGGCAGACAAGGTCCTGATGATTGCACACCTCTGAGCTGCTTTGTTTTCATTCCTTTTCAGATCTGTCCGTCAGCCTAAGCTGAAAAGAAATACTAGCCTGTTGCACTGTGTAGTTATGCTGTGATGATTTAACACATACTTTTATTCGTCTGCCTTGTGGACCCCAATTTGAGTCTCTTACATTTATTAGTTTATGAAACTGTACTAGTGTGAAGCACACTGCCACCAAGTGGGACTAGTACTGAGTCTGTCAAGCTTTCTTCCCTGTGTCTGTCTGTCTGTAGATGAGGTTTTGGGCAGTGAAAGTAACAGCTGGAGCACTGACTATGAGAAGGCTTATGGGACTGTGAGTTTTCAGAGGAGCAGTGGCTAAACCTTAGCAGTCTAAGGGAGCCCCAGAGTCCAGAAGGGCTGTAGGTAGATGCTAGTACAGACATACCTTGGTCTGGAGCCCGTGGGCTGGTAGCCTGCCCTTTAAACAAATGTATTCACAAATACATCTGTATGTTGACCTTGTTTTTAATTAATAGACTATAGTATATGAAAATTATGTTTTATTAGAAACGTGTATTGAGAGCTAATTGATCTAAATAAGTTTCAGAGATTTCCCTCAATCCTCTCTAAAATTGGAAAGGATAGTAATTTGGCATTCCTTTAGGGTCTACATGTTTTGTATCTTAGAGTAAATATCATTGGAATACAGTCTTCCCCTCTTCTACTTAAAAATACTTTTCAAAGCTTAGTTTCTAAAAACTGAACATAGATTTGAGTATAACTGAGAATTTTGGGACAAAGTAGTGATATAAGTTTAAAGTATGATATGGAAACCATTTGTTTATACCTGCGTTCAACTTGGTTATTACTTTAATGCCTGAGTTATTTTAATAGTCTTATTCAAGTTCATTCTTTGAATTGTAGCTCATCTTTTATATATTTTGTAGGAATTTTTTAAGGATTGGATTTACCCTTTTTGCATGATATAAAGCTGCATGTTATATCGCATACTGGCTATTCTCGTCGGCTGTCAAATAAATGCACACTCTTTGATCATTGCATTATAACTGATAATTGCAGAGGACAGTGAAGATGAAAAGGAAGATCATAAAAATGTGCGCCAGCAGCGGCAGGCAGCCTCTAAAGCAGCTTCTAAACAGAGAGAGATGCTCATGGAAGATGTGGGCAGCGAGGAAGAACCAGAAGAAGAGGATGAGGCACCATTCCAGGAGAGTATGTGACGCTGGCTTGCTGCTCTGGTCACAATTGTGGGTTGTGACCGTGGTCCCGTTGGCTTTATTGTGGATGCTGAACGGTACAGCCAGTACCTGAAATTAGATACTTGCTATGAAAAGAGATGACTGTAGTGCTATCTGTTGATATTTTAAAAGGTTCAAAGATGCTCATGATTGTGATGTCCATCAGTTGTACTCAAACATTAAGTGAATAGTTGTTAGAATGATAGTCACATAGTGGATGTTATGAGTAAGATTTGTATTTTGGCCTGGTGGAGAAGGCTGTACACTTCCTCCCCTGACAAAAAAAGGGCTAATAACAGAATTCAGATGTTTTACAGGTTATTCAGATTAAGCATATGCATTTTTGCTTGTATGCAGTTTTCTTGTTTCATTTATTCATGTATTTGGACCAAATGTGTCAGATCAGTTCAGTTTCATTTCCCTGGTCTCACCAAGTACACTATGGGAATGATGGAACTACCCGAAGTTATTTGATGGCTTTAGTTTTATTCAGACTAAGTCTTATCTCTTCCTGTGTTTAACCTCCTCTTCAAACAAATCAGTTGTGGAATCCTCACGTGAATCCTAAACCCCTTTTACAGGTGGGGCCCGTGGGAACTCCAGCCCAGCTGGTAGCACAGCTGCAAGTAGGCCCATGGTGTTGGGCTCCCAGGCCCTCCCCCCCCCCTCCCCCCGGTCATTCTGAGCACTCCCTGTGCTCACTGGGAAGGCTGTACATTAAGTCAGAATCTGAACTGAAATTCTTCTTTCCTCTCAGAAGATTCCGGCAGTGATGAAGATTTCCTAATGGAAGATGATGATGATAGTGACTATGGCAGTTCAAAAAAGAAAAACAAGAAGATGGTTAAGAAGTCCAAACCTGAGAGAAAAGAAAAGAAAATGCCCAAACCCAGGCTAAAGGCTACAGGTGAGCCCCGCAGAATGAGATGAGTAAGCTTCCTCGACCGAAATTCTTCCTTAGGCTTGGCACTGGCCACACACTTAACAGAGTAGGAGAATTCAGAGAGGATCCTGTCTCCTACACCTGAAGTGGTCGCTTAGTTATTAATAAGCACTCCAGCCTCTCCAAGAGGCTGCTGGCCTAGCCCAGTTCTTCCGCGGCTGCCTTACATAATCAGGGTTTCGGAAGTGACCTATTTGTGTCAGGCACGGTGGTAGAAACACTACATCAGCACCGCTGTTACCCCCCATTTTTCCCACCGATGCCGTACAATCCCAGCAGCCAGTAAAGACTTGAAATTGGGAAAATGCACACATGCAGTAACATATTTAAGTCTGTGTTTGGATGCCCACGCCATCCTCTGTGCTCACAGAATGAAACCACACCTGACGACGTGTGTTCAATGTCTTTGGGCCCTTGTGGTTTCTGCCAGATGTTCTCCTGGTCTGAGCAAGTTTATCCTTAAATCCAAAAGCTGGGTTTGCTTTTTTTTTATTCGGCAAGTAGGACTGATGCTTTTTAAACCTTTTACTCTCATTGGGAATCATGGAAGTATCAGAAGTTATTTGATGTCTTCAGTTTCTTCCTCAGACTTTATATCCTTTCTCCTTGACCTGCTTTTTATAAACATAAACAACTTGTAGTCTCTCAAGCCACTGAGGATGAGGTGCAGTTTCTGCAGCATCCCGTTTTTTTTTATTGTAAACTTTACTGCTAACATAACATTACAGTGTTGGTGAAAGTGAAAACGAGTGCCACCTTGATATTTAGTAAGTTGGGGTGTTGTTTTTATAGATTTTATTCTTAGCTTTTGTTCTGTAGCTGATTTTTATTAAAGACATTTTCTCCTTTTCCCTTCCCCAAATTGGTATTGTTCTTCTTTCAGTGACGCCAAGTCCTGTGAAAGGCAAAGGGAAAGTGGGTCGCCCCACAGCTTCCAAGGCATCGAAGGAAAAGACTCCTTCCCCCAAAGACGACGACGAGGACCCAGAAAGCCCCCCGGAGAAGAAGACGCCTGCAAGCCCCCCGCCCGAGAAGTCTGGGGACGAGGGGTCTGAGGATGAGGCCCAGTCTGGGGAGGATTAAAAGGGATGATGGCTTGGGGAGAGATTTTATTTAAAAAAAGAGAAAAAAAAAAAGAAAAAAGAAAAAAGAGAGGAAAAAAAAAGAAAACCTACTTAAGGTAGAACATGGTCTTGGCTCTGGCTCGACTCCTGGGCTTTCGTGCTTTTTTTCCTTTTGTCAAAAATAACATTTCTTTCTCTCTCTTTCTCTCTTTTTAAACAAACCATAGTATGTTGGATTTACCTTTTTGTCTATTGTTCTTCTCTTTGCCATCACCCTTGCCTCCCCCCTTCCCAGTGAAAGCCATGTCAACTTCATCACTGGATTGGCTGCTTCATCTTTTCATTTCTAATGGAAGGTGTATCTCAGTTGTAAAGCAATAAGATTAGAGATGAGCTGTAAGGAAATGTTGCTTTTTGCTAACTAGTAGCAAGTTGAACAGTAATCACAATGTAGAGGGTTTTAGTTAAAAAATGATTGCTGCTTTATCTGGACTCTTTAAAAAATCAATTGTCACCTAATACAAGTATATATACACAAGTATAGATGTCTAAAAAAGTTACGACTTTAAACTTCCACTGATGGGGCAGGTAAGAGATAAAAGAGGAATTCTGAATTGTTACTGAAAGTATTCGTATTTTTAACTTGGGGGCAGGGCAGGGAATGGAGTTGCCTGACCTTGTTTGAGGGTGTGGTGGGGGTTTTTTTGCTTTGTTTTTTAATATCATTACTTGTTATCTCAGACGGAACCAGTGATCCCTTTATCCTGCTTCAGTCTTTAAGGAACTTTAAAAAAAAAAAAAAAGCAAAGGCGCCAAAACTTAAATCACTCTTGATTTCCTGTTTCATTCTTTAATGGTTCATGTTTTTAAAATATATATGTATCTGTTGTTTCTTGGATAAAATTTTACCAAGGATCAAAAAAAAACCTAGAGTTTAAGTGGCAAGGTCTATGCATCACAGTGGATTTCTTCTCAACTGACAATGTTTAGGTTTTAAGCAAATAAAGTACCAGTTAATGTGAAACTCAATCACAAAGACTTGAGATTTTTCCTTTACAAAAAAACAGAATTGGAAGTCTTTTGTGCCATAAATGTGCATTCAGATCCCATGAACCATGCTCTGTTTTTATCTGGGGATAGAACATTCTCCTTTTCATACACCTGTCTTCCCATTTGTTTGTAGAAAGCTGGTTTGAAGGGCATCCCTCCACTAGGACCCCACTGCACACCCCATCCAGTGCCTACCAGCTGTGCTGTTCTTCACGTCCAGTGCTTGATGATGGGAGTGTGTTAAATGCTGCTTCCTTCAAATTCCATTTGCTTTGTCTTGTTAACTTGTGCCCCTGCTCACTGCTCATGTTGCTAAAAAGCAGGAATTTAAGGAGCTCAAGAGCTAGAGACACCTTGTGTTCAGGAGGCCTGTGTGAAGTTGATAACGGACTTTACATGCCTTATCAAAGCAGTCAGGAGACATCTGAAGGTTCGATCCTCCGCATCCTGATACCTTGAGCTAATGAGAGCAAGGTTTAGGGGTTTTAATGTGCTAATAAATTGGAAAATTAGTGAAATTTAACCTCTGCCTTTTTTTTTGAAGATATGCTTCAGTATCTTGACATGGTTTTCTTTCTGCCTTACAAGTTACAGCATATTTTTCTCTAAGACAACATGGCTTTCTTGTTCCTAGGACAAAGGGTTATTTAAGGAATATTTTTACTCAGATTCTTTTTTTAAAAAACATCCAGTGGCAGAGAAGTCATTTCACTGTTGCACTGTGTGTGTGAAAGAATGAATTTGGAGATTTTAGTACTTGGCCAAAAATGCGAAACTTGAACATTAAGTAGCAGGTGGGTGATTATCTTTCATGAAGGTTAACTGTGAGGGTGTTAAAAGATAAATCTCTTTGTTTTATGGGTTTGTGCAGGTATCTAGTTTTAGCAAGAAGGTTTGTGTTCATAGAGTAAAAGACCTATCAGTGTTTCCACCATGCACTTCTATTTTTAGGGGTTTATAATAAGTCTTACATTCCTAGTAACATTTGGGCTTCTCTTAGATTATGTTTGGTGACGATTGGGAGGAGGAGTCTTTTAAAACTTTGAATATTTTATGTAACAGTCTCTTTATTAGTCTGTGCTGATGTCTCTGTGATACATGCACATGCTTTAGAGGTAATTGTGTCTTCTGGGTGACTTGTGTGCATTTGGTTGGGCTTTTTGTTTGGGATCCCTTTTTTAAAAATTCATGAGATTGAAAAAATGTATTTATATTTCTAATAGACTGGACAAAAGGCTCTGTGTCCCCAAGTGAGACAAGCTCTGAATGACTTTTGTTTTCTCCACTTTCTATTGATTTAAAACACACTCTAGTCTTCCCCTCAAGTCATGCACGCATAGAGGACAGCTGTGGTGTCTCAACTGGAAACGGGTGCTCAGTCGTCAGGCTTGACAGTGATGTCAGGACGGGTCATAGCTGTGAGCTGATAGTCATTGGCCATTGGCACCATCCTTGACTAGCTCCCTTTTTCTCCAGTGTGCCTATGGTGAAATGGCAATAGCGTTCACTGTCTGGATTTGCAGTGCTCAGGAAATGAGACGTAAACTTTGAAGGTGCTTGTTTGTGTTATTGGAATTCTCTGTGTTAGCTCTTAATAGGTTTCCCTCTTGAACATGGATTTTGGCAGCTATGCTGACTGACAGACACTACATTCTAGTTCTTAAGATTCTTTTCCAGACTTCCCTTCCCAGTGTGCCACAGCTAGAACCGGATAGCTTACATCTTATTAAAATCTGTACCTTGCGGCTGCTTTTAGCCCTCCCCGCCTCAGATTGGAATCAATATAGTGGGCCCAAAGGACATGTTTAAATTTCAGTAATGGTGGATGGTCCTGCTTTCTAAAACATCTCGACCTTAAACATCTTCACTCCCTATTGAGTCTGAAAAAAATTAATCGGTGTGTCCTCCTTGAGGGAGGCAATTGGGGGAAATCTTTTAACCTGGAAGATTAGTAGTTGATTTCCCACAAAGGAGCTTTGATACTGGTTGGTTTATTTTTTCCGCCGCTATAACTGGTTTGCCCCAGGTTCAGCCCTCAACTCAGTACTTATTCTTGGTACTGGTTCAGATAGCATTTTCTCCCAGGTGGAATTTGAGGTTATAATTCAGTGAAGTTTTTGACTCTTGTGGATGTATATGGTCAGTGAGACTGAACTTGACGCCTTTTTTTTTAATTGCCACGTCTCTTGTATCCATGAACATTCAAATAAGAGGTGGATCTTAGAATACTGGTTGCCGGGAGGGAATGGCGCTTTAACTTAATGGAGGTCAGGGGCTGCTTCAAAGGGCTGACAAGGCAAGAGCAGGATAGATGATGAGGAGCAGTGCAAAGGTCATGCGGCCGTCGTGGCTGTGTGAAGAGTGGGGGCGTCCGCGTACGGTGCCTGCGCCGGTGTCGCCAGTAGCCGCACTGAGAAGAAGGAGCTGTTGTTCCCTTAGTGGGGACAGGGAGAAACCGGGGCTCGGCCGATGGCATTCAGATGGATACTTACAACGGAGTGACAGACATTGCCCGCCAAGGGACAGGGAAAATACAACAAGCTGATTGCCCTTGAGGTTAGAAAATCATCCTTTTCTCTGCGTGGAGCTGGGTTTATTTGAAAAGAGAGTTTATTGTTTGGATATTGGGACATCAAGCTATCCATAGCGAAGTTTCTATCTACAACCTATTTTCCCTTTGGGGGATATTCTTAATTCAGAATGACTTTTTGAACCCCAAATCCCTAAATGACAAGCCTAATTCACAAAATTCACAGTGGTGCTGACTGTATTAACCACTATTGGGAAAAGTCCCGTAAGCCTGCCTGTTGCCATGCCAATGGAGTGAGTGAGCCGGGGACATGTTTGAGCATGCTTTGTGTGGCTGGGGGAGTGCCACCGTTGTGCATACACTTTGTACGTCAGGGTGAAGGGGAGGGTTTTCTAGATTATGGGGTGGGTAAAACTGGGATTTTTTTTTTGTTCCTTTTTCAGTGGGGTATAGGGGTAGAGTATTCACTCAGCTTATGCCCTTAACATGTATAAACCCCAAAGTATTGTGTGGGTGTGTGAGTGTGTGTACATGTCTGGCAATTAAACCTTTGTCTTCTGGAAATTAGTGAATTCTTTTCTTTTTTTCCTCCAGAAGTATTTGTTACAAGATTTGTAAATAAGAGCTCTACTTAGTTTGTTTACCACATGTTGCAGCAAACCTTATATGTGTAATTCCTGCAAGATTTAGGGAAAGAGTTTAAGACTTGCCAGGTTAAGCAGCAGTCACGTTCTCAGTAATTGTTTGCCTCGATTCATCTTTCAGACTTCATTTTGCCAGCCCTAAAACTCCCCCCACCTTCCTTGATTTTAGTCCTTAACCTTTTATGTTCGGAGCAGGAAGGGTTAGAGAGAGGAACCTGCTGAAATGTATGTAATTAGTCCGTGAGCGGAGACCGGGGCATCTCTTCCTTAATACTGCAATGCCGAGTCATCAGACACCAGAGGGTTGGGCATTCTTGCGATACCTTAACAGTGCGCTGAAGTCTGCAGCGTGGTACTAAGGAAGTTAAAGTTTGAATGTAACCACTTTATTTAAAAGGTTTTTTTCTTAATTTAAATAAAATGGGGTTGAAGTGAACATGATTTTGTTGACCATGTTCGTGAATTATAGATGCAACATGCATTGGTAGACTTGTGTGACGGTCTTTTGTGATACTTAATTTTTACATATCCCAGTCTCTGTATGTATCTGCATAGACAAATTAAAAACAAACTCCTGCTTTCTTTCACTAAAGGGTTTCCGGGACTGCGTGTCTGCTCCTGAGCTCTGTTTTAAGTATGTGTATCATTTGCTTGTATTTTGTATTAAAAAATAAGAAAAAGAACCCTTTATTGTTGAGCATGTTGGCATTGTCCCCTTTACTTTTTTTTTTTTCTTTTTGGGACATATGAAGCAAGTTATTCTTTTTCTGTATCTTTTTTTCTTTTGTAAACTTTTTTTTGTTTTGTTTTGTTTAAAAATGGCTTTATAAAAGGGCTTTTATAACCCAGATGTGTGCTCTGTGTACTTCTTGTAACACCTGCAAGCAAATACACTGACTTACACAGATGATCACCTTGGCCTCTCAGCTTCAGGTCCGGGGTGGGGATTGCTTCCTGAATGAATTCTTCGGACACTAACTGTAACCATCACTATTGCTGGTCTTGTGTGTCAAAAGGAGTAATTAACAGTTCAGAGTATATGATGCATTAGATTCACTAGCTTAATTAAGGGAGCGGAGAACTGGGTGCGTGCGGATTCCTGGTAAGCGTTTTTCCTCATGTTGGTATCCAAGCTTATGGAGTGTTGGAGGGCAAAATTCTCTTCAGTCATAATTATGTATCAATAATATTTGTACTCACAAAACAGATACGCGTTTTCAAATATCGTTGAGAACTACACTATCTTGCTATTTATTTTAAAGGAAGATCATGGCATAAAATCCCTCTTTAGAATTGAGCTGACGTGGTAGCTATTAGAACTTCTTTTTAACGCTTCCCCTTTTTTACATTCTTGCCTTGTCATCCAAATACTGTAATTAACAGACTCACCTTGACTTTGGAATTGAATGCTTTTTGCTGGATGTGATCCCTCAGTAAGTAGACAACTTCACTTTTATTTCTTAAGGAGTTGTTTGTCCCAGGTCAGAGTTAACTTCTGAAGAACATTAACCTGCCACTTTCCCTCCTAACCTGTCGGTGGTTTATGGTTAACATACCAAATGTCTGCTTCAGTGCCATGCTGAAGAAATAACAGTCTGGTTTTAAAGGATTTCAAACACCATCAGGTGAACAAACAGGCAAGAGGCTGGATTTGGTAAAACATTTGGAGCTCTCACTTCCTGTCCGTGCACGTGACGGTAATGGAACACTGCGGCTCTACAGTGCTTGCAGTTTATGAAGTGTTTATTTACATCCTACTCATTCCGTTTTCACGACTGTGAGATTGGCTAAACGTTCCTCTAGTTTTGTAGAAAATAAGCTGGTTCAGGTAGGATGTGATTTGACAGGCTTTGAATGTGGTGGGTGGTTCTGTGTGCTTCAAGTCGTCACGGTTGTTGGTCCTAACGCCAGCTCCCATTGTCTTGTATAAATGGGTCCCTTAAGCCTCCTTCCTGATAACCTTTTGAACATTTTGCTATTCTTTAGCATCTGCTAATTAACACTGATACTTGAACCAATCTAATGGTAATCAAAGATTTAATGGGAAAAATTTCACATTAAACAAAAATTTACTTGAAAATCCCTGTGGTCCCCAGATATGAAGGCTCAAATCATTTTTTCAAAAAGCTTTATTTTCTAGTTAAGTCTGTAGATAGTGACTGTGTGAAGGAATAATATGGAGCACCTTGTCCATACAGCCTACTCCTCTACCAGTAGAGGGCAGCATTTGTCCTCCATATACAGTACTTAGCGTAGTGGGACTGCTCTCAACTCCTTTTTAGACATGTAACTGTTCCCCAGATTCAACATTCAGGACACATTACCACCTACATGGTTTAGAGATATTCGCTGATCACTGTGCCCACTTCACACTGTAGTGTATGAAGCAGCAGTCTTTTCTAGATTGTTAGTGGGAAGTAGGATATCTTGATTCAGGCACATCTGTCTGCTTACCTTGTTCTCTTTTTACGACTCCCAAAACCTATGTGGATAACATTCCAAAATGAAAGTTTGTTGAGATTTCAAAATGCAATGCAAACTCTTGGCCCTATTTTGAAACAGGTGTCGCTTTTTGAAATTGCCCTCTAGCTCTAAAGCTTTGTATCTTGCACAAACAGCACAGATAGGCATTTGCATACAAGGAATACTGAAGCATGTTTTCAAGGGAAGGTGGTACATTGTGTTCCTTTATCTTGATGGCATGCTCTCTTTTCCCCTGTTATCTTAATAGAAGGGACAAGTGCCCATTTTGACATGTCTGGGCTGGGTCACCACCAGGAGAAATCATTACTCGGGTGTGCCCCATTTCAGTATGAAAGTCCTGGACAAATATTATGAAACAAATGCTCTGGAATCAGAGTGAGAGGGTGTACCCAGAGTTTCCATCCTAGTAAAGCAAATAATTACTTAAAAATGCAATAACATGAAATTTTCATGTATGATTTAGCTCTTTACTGGCTTGATTTAGCTCTCACTGGCTCCCATAATGATCGGTCTAAAATTTTAACTCTTAAGGAATAGTTGGATCAAGGAAGATTACATGCATATTACTATTATGATAATGTTTGCATTATTGAATATGTGTGTGTGTGTTACTGTAAATCTGTGAATATATATATGTGTGTGTGCTTGTCTGTGTATGTGTGTCTGCCTCTGATCTCTTTTCACAGCCCCCAAAACCTGAGTGGGTAACATCCTATGCACCCACACAAACCCTTTCATTAGATCATGCAAGACCACTTCCTTGGCTGACGTGTCTAATAGCTACACTTTTTCCACCTCGGGTAGGAACAAGAATATGTAGTCTATATGTAGTTGGGGCTCTTCTGACTGCAAGAGGTTAGGGAGACGGATTAGGTAAGTGGCAGAGAAACAAGGAAAATGATGGAACAAGAAAAACGATAGCCTATATTTTAGGATGAGAGAACTGCTCGTTTGGTAGCTACAGCTAACTGGTTGTGTGGTAAGTGGTGCACATTCACAATAACTGGACATGTATCCTGATATAATTAATCAAAAGACTGTGAAACACTCATCTTTACCCAGGAAGTGTATAGAGACAGTGACGTATACTGGGTCCTCACTTTGTGACTATAAATTGGTTCTCTTGTTCACTCATTCAGCCTAATGGAGTAAAATGCTAAGCATTTTTACAATTTGCTTTTACTTCTAAAGTAGTTAAGAACAATAATACAGCAAAGCTCTTCTATAAGTCACTAAACATCTTTGGTAGTCGGGGACTCAGCTGGCATTCTGTTTAGATCTTGAAACATAATCTGGGGCTGCAGCAGCCCAACTTCATACCTAATGCATGTGCCACATCTCAGTTACAAGCTCCAGGCACCTCCTGCTTGGTCTTTACCAGGACCTCTGCTGTAGTTTCCCACTCTCTCTTTTTCTTCTCTTGTTTTTGTGAATGAACAGTTTCCATGGGGTTGGCGTTTTTGAGGCGAATGTAGTGTTTATACATGAACCAGGTAGTTCTAGGAGTGTTTGGGGAACCAGCTGTCCTGTAGACAACCACACAGTTGGCCCAAGTACAAGATAAATATCATTTCCTGGTAAACCTGGAACAATGCAAAGCTTAGTTTCCAAAGCTCCATTTTAGGGCACTGGCGGTGTGACTTGAGGTATACAGGATACACACAGTGCCTCGTTTAAGAGCAATGGTTGTCCTAGACCTTGCACAATGGGCCAGTCTTGGGCCATCGGCAAAGCGGGTCAGTCCTCTCTCCTGTTTGCCCACATTCCCTTCCCACACCCTCAAGTGAAGCAATAAGAGCCAATGATTGGCTCTGGGGTCACTCACTTCTCCAGAACTCAACACCACCAAGCAGTCATTGAGACGCAGATGCCCGACTCCGGGAAATGGGAGTGCCTAGGACATTCTAGAGGACTCCACCTGAATTAGCCGGCAATATTTATTGACAATGAAAACTACGGTGACTAGATTCCAAACCCCAAATTGGGACCTATCGTATAATGGAGAGCCTTGTCCTACTCTTTAGTGGGAAAACCTAAGATAGAGTTTGAATCTCAGAATATTGGCATTTCTGGGATATTTTTATGGTTTAAGGAACTAAAGCATGAAATGTGTAAAATTTGATGTCCAGGAAATTCATGTGACCGGTAAAAAAAAGCGCCACAGATGTTCTGAGTGGAATTGACATCAGCACACACCACTCGAGCAATCACTTGTTTTGTTTTCTGGAAACCCCCAGGCGCCGTTCCTCATCTGTGACCTGAGAAGCTTGGATGGAGCAGAAAAAATCAGTTTACAGGGTGATCTTGGGCAAGTCACCTATTCCCCTGCTCCCTGTCTTTCACCACCCCAAGTATCATTCACCTTTTTCATATAATGAGGATAAAAAGGGACTGATTGTCCTCCAGTTCAAAGGGGTGATGAGTGAGTGAGTGAGGCTGCCAGCACCTCACACTTGAAAGAGGCTCTCTGTGCCCCCAGGCTGCTGCTGGTCCTGGGGACCAACCAGTCTCAGAAGAAAGCAGCAAGGTCCCTCCAGGCAAGGTCCCCGCTGCCGGGTGGCAGCCTCATTCCTGCACAACTGAAATCCTTTCAACTTCGTCTCTGAAGTCCAAATGAGTTATTTATTAGAAAGAACTCTTGCAAAAGAGCAAACTTTAACCAGCCTGCAATGTAGGGTGGCTTTAGAGGGGAGGGAAGCGTGACAATCCCAAGTCACCTGCACTGGTGAAGGGTTTTTTTTCATAGTGTAAGTAGCACAACTGATTGGCACTTGGATGGTTCTTCAGTCTCATAGGAAAAAGAAAATTTCATCCAATAGTTGCAAACGGAATTCCTAGTTACATAGACTGCAAATGAGGGAGAGCCCTTTGGACGGAAAAACAGATTTAGAGATAACTCGCCAGTAGCATATTTTCAGTATATGAAATACCATAGTTTTGTCTTTGGTCTTTCAAGTTTAACACCAGAAAAGAAGCCACAAAAAAAAATACCGGAGCCATTATCAGGGACCAAACCCAGGAGCCCAACGGAACTGTTGTACTGATATGTGTGTTCTCACGACACTGGAGCCTCACTAGGGTGCGTGCTGTGGGGAGCTTCTGCCAGACCCCGTCACAGATAAAAGAGCATGTTGGCAACTGAACCCCAGAAACGGGCTACAAGATGGACGCCTCCCTCCCCCCCCGACTCCCCACAAATTATCTTCAGTCTTAAGGGAAGAAAGACCCAATTTCAATCAATAGCAAGGAGGCCTTTTAAAAACGTCTGATTGATGTAAGTTGAGTAACGGTCACATTGTATAAATACTGAAATTCTGGTCAGGATCCTCTTATCTTGTGATACCCTCTTTCATCAGATTTTGAAGAACATCATTTGAGCCGCTTGTATAGATAAGATAACTCCCAGGAGTCGCTCTTGTCATGTTATCTTGCTTAAGTAGATAGAACTGGTGGTGATCTTGGCGTTAGTAAAACTTTCTCAACCGAGTTACCATCACTGAGTTCTGTTAATGGGCATGACATATGCTTCCTCCCTCATTAGGCATTTTGGACAAGTGTCAGCATTTAAGGTCATGAGAACTGGATTTTGTTCCCTCTTCAGAATATGGTATTAAAGAAATTTAGCTGAATACTAAGATAGCTTTCTTCCCCTGGGCTCTCACAGCATTCTTGTAGAATCAGAAGGCGGGCTTGGCCACACAGAGACACACCAGGCAGGTTCTCCGCGTTAAAGCCGGCAGCAGGGACAGACCAGCCTGAGGCATGAGAAACCCTGTTTTCCTGTGGACTGGCCAACACAATTCTTGTGTAGGTGAATCAGACTTTCAAAGGAGATTTCTTTGTTTCAAGGTGGTTTTCTTTTTTCTGTTTTTTGACATACAATTCTTAATTGAGAAAACACATCTTCATTTTCTAATCCATGTGATAGAAAAGTAAAAAAGCTAAGAACTAAATACAACTGTTACATGTATTGGAAAGCAAGGCATTAAGGATTCTCCAACTCGATACATTTTGGCTGCCCATAGAAAAGTTCTTTTTAAACCAGTATTTCTCAAAATGTGATCCCCCGACCAACAGCCTCAGCAGCAGCTGGGAACTTAGTCAAAAGTCTTCAGCCCCATCCCAGACCTACTGAATCAGAAACTTCATTGAGGGGGGAATGCTTAACAGGAAAGTCTGCTTGTAACAAATCCTTGCCCTTTTCTTCTTACTAGAAAAGGCAGTTTGGCCTAGTTGATGTTACTGAGATGGGATAGTTATTGTATCCATCTGGGTCTGGCTCAATAGCACCAATTAAAAACTATAGTCGCCTCCTTATCTGCCCGTCCTGGAAACAGTTTCTCTGTTCTTGGAAGCTCCATCCCTCCGTAGGAGTCACCAGAGGTACAACTGACCCTCTTCTCGTGATGAATCCCGCTGTCATATACCTCCTGCGACCCAAGAATCCTGCCTGCTATTGGACTTCCTACAGATTCAGGCCTTGGTTTCAAGTGTTTTCATTTGCTTTCTAGAATGACAACCTGACCCTGAAAATGTCTTTGACAAACCACAGATGTTCATGCTCAAGAGTGGAGCCAAGAGAATATACATAGTACCATCCTTCAATAATCTACATCTCTCCCTGGAAAACTCATTCGGCCTATTAACTTGTACTTCTCCAATACTCTCTTAATAATAACAGTAGCTTGTATTTTTGAATGCCTGTGTTCCAGAAGGAATCGCCTTGAACATTTACCATGCCTTCCATCATGGACTCCTTACAACAGTCCCATGAGATGCGTGTAAAGTCACTGTCTCCAGTGTCCAGAGAAGAACCAGAGCCTAGGGACGGTCACACAGTGTGCCCCAGACCACGTGGCCTAGTGGCCACAGCACTCACCCTTCCCGTGGACGATGGCTGTGGGATTAAACACTGCCTGCTGGTAACCGTCCGTCCCAAGATACCCATGTGTCCACCAGCCTTCCCTGCCCCGCTTCAGGCACTATGCTAGGTACATGGTATGGTGATGGCCTGGGGCTGGCCAAATCCCTGTTTGCCTTATCATTATAAACATCTTATTGGTGAGGCAGACCCCTCTGATGGAGGTTTTGTTCCGTGGGGCACTGGTCAAACAAGGACGATCCCTTCTTGCAAAGCACGTAGTCTTTGTCCCTTCACCCCATTTAAGCAGTTCCCTCTCTGTCCACGAGAGCAATGTGCAAGCTCATCCAGCCGGCCGCTCCTGGACCCGGTGCATAAGTCCCAATAGCCCTCATGTCTCATACGGAGTCTTCAGGGCTTTCCCGTCACGGCTTGCCCGCTTGGCCGTACGACTGGACATGTGATCACACAAAGGGCAACACTGAGCACTTGCGTGTGGGTTCCCTTCGCTTGATTCCTGGAATATCAGCCTCTAGCAAAAGCATTGGGGAGCAGTGAACTAACCACAAATAGATGAAAAGAGAGATGTAATAATTAAACAAAAGAAACTGTGGACAGAAAGTCAGGGACCTGGGTTTGAGTTCCTGTTCTCCCCTAACCAGCTGGGCCCCTGGCAGGACACTTGGCCTCCCTGAGTTTCAGTTTCCCAGACTGTTAACTCTGCTGGTCCCACCTGCTTCTCAGGTTTGTTGCGGGGGGCCTCACGGGAGGATTGCCCCCTGGGGCGTGAGGTGGGTTGATAGCATAAGCAAGAAGCGGCCTCAGCTGTGAATCACAGGGCCTTTCCTTCTTGTTGCAGAGAGAGCAGTGGGTTGATGGTGCAATCCAGGTAAGTAAGGGGCAGGGAGGAAGGCTGGCAACCCCCCGCTCCTGGCTGCCTGTCTCCCCCAGGCTCAGCTACCGGCCCTGTCTGTTTATTTACACTTGTCCCGCTAAATAGCTCGCAAACAACAGGCTTCTTATGTGCGGTTTGGTACTTGTGGATGAAGCCAGACAGGGGTCTCAGTTGGAACGCCCTAACATTCGGGAAGGGCCCAGCCCAGGCCTGCCTCAGAACATTCTCTGAGCTGCTCAGATCTCCCTGGTTGGGGGGCTGGGGTGCGTGGTGGAAACGACGGGGAGCTAACACCCCTCTTGAAGCATTTCATATGGGAGCTCTGCCTAGGCAGTAGGCTGTGATATGCGGGCTGGGAGCAGCTGGGTTGGGAGTGCAGTAAGCTCCCCCTCGGCCCTCCCTCTAATGCTCCTATAAAGGAGCCTCGGGGGGCGGGTGCCTGGTAGGTACATCCACACCCAGGTGAGAGACGCAGCTGCCAGCCTGTGAAGACCTCCGGAGGGGTCTCCATGGGGGGACTGCTGACAGTGAGGGGACAGTGAACATGAACCGTGAAGCAGGGAGAAATGGCCCACAGTCCCTCCCTCTAGGCGGCCGGGGCATCTGCCTCCCCGGCCTGCTGCACTGGGCTCCGGATTCACTGTGAGTTCAGAATTCCATCTTCTCTAGCACACCTAACATTTCTTGTCTGCATGTTGGCCTGCAAGTATGTAAAAGAGAGAAACCGAGTCTCAAGTGTGTGTGTGTGTTGGAGGGTGGGAGGCTGGAAGGGGGGCTTCCCATCCTTCTGGAGACCCTCTCTTGTCAGTGTAGCCAAAGGACATGCACACTTGTCTGGGAGCCTCCCGTTTCCCCAGGCTAATTGCATGCCTCCTTGTGAAAGGAAATAGTTTCTCAGCGAGCTGGGAAACTCAAGTCCCTGGTGCCCCCTGGCTGTGGGTATCAGGGGAAGGACAAGGAAGGAAGCGGCTGTTCGCGCACCCCTTGCCTGCCCTGCACTCTCCAGGAGTGCCCAGCCCAGGCTGGAGACAGGGCGTCCTTCCTCCCTCCAGCAGAAGCTTCCAGCCCTGCCCCTGGGCATGGCCGTGCAGGATCCTTTGAGGAAAGCCAGGCCAAGGATGCGGTCGGGTTTTGGATACAGGCGGAACGTCAGGAAGGTCCCTGAGGAAGCGGGGCTGTTTATGCACAGCCCCTCAGCTGCTGCCTGGGAGGAGGAAGAAGTGAGGCCGTCCCCCTCCCTGCTGTGTACTGCTGCTCCGGGCCTGGCTGCGGGTCAGGGAAGGGAGGGAAGGGAGGACAGCTCAGTGGGGAGGCAGGGGAGATTGGCTGAGGTCCCGGATGGGCGGCAAGGCCTTCCTCTCCCTCCAGGGCCTCAGTCAGCACCTTTCCAGGGAGGTGGTTTTAGAAAACAGCCCCACATGGGACTGTCGATGAGAGGAATGTGGCTAGAGTGGTTACGGGAGCAGGAAACAGCCGGGCTGCTGCTTCCCTGGAAAGGTTACTCATGAAGCGGATGCCAGGATGTGAGGCTTGGGTGCACCTTTCCGCCTCCCACTCCTGGAGAGAGGGAGAGAGAAACATCCCGTGCTGGTCCCATAGTATCCTCCATCCCGACAGTGAGGTGGAAGCTGGTCAGCTGGGAGGGGGCCTAGGTGTGGAGCCTCACAGGACAGACTCTCTCTGGCCACTTCTCTGTAGTCTTTCCCTGACCCCTGACCTCAAGGCTACCCCCAAGTTTCTAAGCGCCTCCTCCCTTCCCAGTTCTTTTAAAAAATGCCAAAGCGCAGGAGGTTGGGATTGAGGAAACCAGAAAGAGGAGTGAAGATTTACCTGAATTTATGATCCCAGGGATCACTGGGCAATTTTTCCCTGAGAAAAACCAGGCCACTCACTTATTATGCCTCAATTACTTCAGCCCAGGACTAGATGGAGAGGCCAAGGAAAGAGACTATAGGCCCCTCGAGGGCAGGAAATCTCTCCAATCTATTTTTTTAATTGAGATTTTTATTGACATGACTGTCAATTCACAGGCAGTTGTGAGAAATAATACACAGCAATCCTTTGTACCCTCGGTCCAGTTTCCCACAATGGTAACATTTCACAAAACCAGAGCATAATACCCCAACCAGGATGTTGACACTGATATAATCTGCCAATCTTACTCAGAGAGGCTGTTTTACTGTGCGTGTGTGTGCATGTGTGGGGGTGGTGTGTATTTAGTTCTATACAATGTTATCTCCTGTGTACATTCGAGCGTCACAGTCCAGATTCTGAATAGTCACAACGCCACAGGGAACAAGGATCCCTCCTGCTGCCCTTTTAAACCACCCTCCCAGCCCCTGTTACCCATCCCTAATCCACTTCTAAAGCTTTAGTTCAAACATGTTACATAAATGGAGTCCTAGACCATGTGACTTTTGAGGGGTGGTTTTTCTCTCAGCACATGCCCTGCAGATCTATCCAGGTTGCTGTGTGCGTCAGGAGTTCATCCCATTTTATTGGTGAGCAGTGACCTCTGCTATGTTAGTACCAGAGTTTAACTGTTCACCAGTCAAAGAACATTCGGGTTGTTTCCCATTTGGGGCTTACAAATAAGGGCTGCTATGCACGTTCGTGTCCAGGTTCTATGTGACCATCACCATGCAGTGGCAGCCTCGTGTGGGCACACAGTGGCTCCTCAGCCACTGTTCCTTGGTAATGACTAAAGACAATCTGCTGCCACCCTTCTTTCCAGGAGGGGCTGAGGGAAAACATGAGTATCGTGATGCATGACGGGAATTACCAAAACGGTGCCTCTGAAGAAAGGATTCATCAGGGGACACATGGCCCTTATGAGCATTAAGCTGTTGGGACAACAGGAGAAAAAGATTATATCAAGAAACAAAAGGGAATGGTTCAAGATGCAGGTGAAAGAGAATGAGCACCATTGACAGGTGGCATATGGCAAGCGACACCCAAGGCTGGGGATTGCTGGGAGCCCCTGTGCAGAGAGAGGGGCTTTGGAAGCAGACGTGGTGTGCGTCCTGCCCACCACGTTTTAGCTGCATGCTCTGGGCCAGGCACCTCGCCTCTCAGAGACTCTAACTGATCTGTAAAATGAAAATAAGCTCTTTCTCCTAAGAGTCATAAGAATTAAAAACAGGATATATAAAGTTCTTGACTGACCATAGCCCCCCAGTAAATGTTATTTTCTTCCCCCCTCCCCTCCCAGGGGGAAGGAAGCAGTAATAGACACGGGAGCAGAGCTCACCAGGAAAGACCACAGGAGTCTGGTTTAAAGGAAGCCCGCAGAGCCCGGACAGGGTGGATTCGAGCAAAGGTGGGGGGTGGACTCAGCCGTGGACTGGATTGGACACCGGCTGCCTCTGTGCAACCCTGGTGTTGCTTCAAAGCAGAGTAGGAACAGGAGCAAAGAGGGTTCAGCCCCAAGGAGTGGCAGTTCCACTAGCACATGGCTGGACATGCCACCCTGTTTTTTGTACTTTACAAGGGGAGCTTCTCCTCGCTGTATGAAAGGCCTGAGACGGACAGTGGGTGTCACCCTTTGGAACTGGGGTGTGCTAAGTAGGATGCCCTCCCTGCCAACCATATGCAACCTGTCCCCCAACCGGCAACCCCCTTCAAATTCCAAATCCCAACCTGCAAAGTCCTTGGTGCCTGCAGCGCTTTCCAGAAACAGCCTGGACCCCGCACAGCTCCCCTCCCAGCTGAGTCTTTGATCTCAGAAAAATGTTTGACCTTTCCAGCCCGTCCCTGGGGCGGTCCCCAGCCCTCGTCTGCTGGGGAGGGAGAAGCAGAACCCCCTTTCCTTGTTCCCACTCTAGTTTCTTTTGCACAAGGGTTAGCTCCCTTTTGGGTCTGTCCTCTGGAAAAGGATGCTGAAGGATCTTTGACACCTGTTTTCATCCACTCCTCCTGCCGCTGGTGCCTCCCAGGTCCTCGCTGGGGCCAGACATGCGGCTGGGAAGGGCCCCTGGTCTTTGAAGCTAGAATGGAGCAAGGGTGGGGGACGCGGGAGGTAACAGGTCACGGCTCTCCCGATGCCCCTGCCTCCTCTCTCTGCCATCTCTCCATCCCACCTCCCTTTGGATCTCAGAGGGCTGGACGCCTCAAGTGCGGGGATGGGAAGATGGAGACAGAGTTCCCTTGGGTGCAGCCAATCAAATGGAGCCCTCTCCACCCCATGCAGGGCCTTCTGTGTCACCCGAACGGCCACAGCAAATGTCCTGTTCTGTCCCAAACTTCTTTGTGCCCATCACTACTCTTTTCACTGGATCTATTCATATTTCTCCCTGTGAAACTCATACCTCCCAAAATGATCTTTAAAAACATAATTAGTTCATGTCCCTCTTTTGCGTGACTCCTAAGTGTCTCCCTATAGCATAAGAATGAAATTCACACACTCTGGTTTCTGCTCACACAGCCCACCCCGCCTCTGCCTCCTTCTTGCTGGGGCTTGCTTTCCATTTCTGGCAATCACCTGCCTTACTGGCTAGTCCTGCCTCAGGGCCTTTGCATTGCTGTCCCAATGTCCTAATGATTTCTTCTTAGATCTTCCTGGGATGGGCTCCTCCTTAATTTTCAGGATCTAGCTAAAATGTCACCTCCTCTAAGGGTCCTTTCTCCTGGAACCTCCCTCCCTGTCCCCTCCCACAGGCCCTCTAAGTCATCATCTGCTTTTACTTCCTTCACAGCCAGCTGAAACTATTTAGCTATAAGTCTGTGCTTTCCCTACTATATACGTCAGGGTCCATAGGGACGTTGCCTGTCCTCTTTACCAGTGTGTCCCCAGCATCCAGGAGGGGATGACCTTTTGTTGGATGGCAGGTGAATCCTCCTGAAGCTGCAGTGGGGGAGGAAAGGCCCATAATGTGGGAAGAACGCTGGCCTTGGGTCTTAGAAAACCAAGTGTAGGTTTGCATCTCAGCTTCGCCATCTATTGACTGTGTCGTCCCAGACAAGCCACTTTCCCTCTTTGCACTTAATTTTCCTCATATGTAAAAGAGAAGAGCTGCCACCTGGCTTCATAACATTGTGGTGAGGATAAGACCATTAGGAAAGTACAAAATAGATATGGAATAAGTGCTGGTTTAGAAATAGATCCGCATGGTTCATCAAAGACAGGGAAACAGAGCCGAGGTGCTGTTCCGCAGCACCTGTTTTCATGCGCTCCGATCAACTTTACCGTGCTTCTTATTTAAGGAGGGTGACACAGACGACAGGTCTGACGGAGGGATCAACAGAAAGTCACCCACTGCACACCAAGCCAGCCCACTGCCCGGTGTTTGTATGGCCCACGAGAGATGAAGGGTTTTTACATTTTTAAATGGTTGGGGAAAAAAATCCAAAGAAGACCACTTTGTGATGCATGAAAATTGTAGGAAATTCAAATGTCAGTGTTGGTAAATAAAATTGTATCAGAATGTCCATTCGCATGTGAGCCGCCTGGGCTGCTTTTGCGCTCCAGGGGCAGAGAAGACTAGCTGTGACAGAGAGCACGGGGCCCCTCACATATTTACTATTTGGCCCTTTGCAGAATAAGTGTGCAGATTCCTGGCTGATTCTAAAAAGTTAAAGGCTTGTCTAAGAGGCTGCCTGACTGCAGAGAGAGGACAGCATGGCCTCCGGGGACCAGTCCTCTTTCAGGGCTCTGAGGCAGGCCTTCGAGGGCCCCGTTTCACCCCTGGATTCTGGGCAGTGCTGGCTGAGGGGGGCTGCACAGCTGCTTAGTCTTTGGGGAAGGGGGGAGCCCCACAGGAGCCCTGCTGTGTCGCAGGTCATCTAATCTCCATTTCTCTTAGTCTTTTCTAGAAGGCGGGAGGTAAGGTGATAAGTGGCTTAACCTCCAGACATCAACTGTCAAAGACAAAGGCGACCTACCCCGGGGAGGAGCCCTAGGCATCCTCTCTCCTTCCTACAGCCGGTCCATGTCAGCCCTGCAGGCCCCCTGTAGGAGGCAGCCTGCCAGAGCCCTGGTAGTCTTAGAATAAAAACAGGAGAGCTGGCTGCTTCGAGGAAGTGGAAAGTCTGCGCCCAGTAACAGGCCTGTCTGTCTGGGGGGCTTATAATCACCTTGGGAGGCTCCCCCTTTGTGTGGCAGAGACGCTGGGCCCAGAGATGGAGCCCACATTGTGGGAGGATGTTGTGTGTCCTTGGGGGTGGTGAGTGTGCATTCTCAGGGCTGTGGAGGGAGGGGACAAGCATCAAAACATACATGCGAAGCCAGGGTGCTGGAATGAACAGGCAGCTGCTAGCAGGAGGGCCATGCAGGGAGTCCCAAGTGCAGGGCAGGCACAGTGCGTTCCTCCTCCCTCCCGGTCACTGTGAAGCCTGGGGCCTGGGGCCAAGACCTGCCACCCTGCTCCCTCTACGGACAAAAGGGCCTATTTTGCTATAGACTGCTCGGGGTGGAGAGGGGGCAGTGTCCTGTCTCCCCTGTCCCCAGGTCCCAGCACCCAGCAGCCTCTGTCCCCTTGAGTCGCCTTCCTTAGAAGCAGACATGGTCAGTGGACTAGAGGTCAAGGCCAGACTCCACCACTTAGTGGCTTTGTAGCCTTAGCAAGTCACTTACTGCTTCCCCAAGCTTCCATTTCCCTCCTTTAATACACCTGTCTCCCGGTCGCTGCGAGGACTGAACGACACACCGCACAGGAAACTACTTTGAAAGCCATAAAGCCCAGGAAGGAATGTTCACGGGACGAGCTATGTCCACATCCCAGTGTACAGAGGGGGGCTACCTGCTGCACAGGGAGACGGGCGCAAAGGGGCTGAGAGGTCTTGAAATAAGCTCGACAGAGCATGCCCCACAGCAGAGCTAGAGGGCCAGAGACCTTCACCAAGATGCTACATACAATCTAGGAGATGGGCTGTCCCCGAGCAGGAAGGCCCCAGAGAAGCTATCAGTGCCCCATCACAGCCAGCCCCCTGCTTGTGGTCTGATCTCAGCATCTCTCTGATCGGGCCCAGGCTTCCTGTGTCAGCCCTGGCAGTTGGCTGGAGATAGCGGTCCGCTTCCCGCCAAGGCTGTGCAACAGCTCCTCCCGGTCCCTGGCTCTCAGCTGCTCAGCTGCGAGGCTTGAATTTGTGGATTTCAGGTGGAACCCCCCTCTCTCCCCTGTTATTCTTGGAAGGCGTTGGTAAAGTCTAGGAACCCTGGTGTGACCCGTGGGAAGCCCAGCACAAAGGGAGTGGGCCTGGGGTTCTGGCCCAGCTCTGCCCGCTATGGCAGTCGTCTCTCCAGCTGTATCCTCAGCCTACAAAACGCTGCACTGACGCCCTTCCTGCCTTCCATTCAGAGGGTGAGGAGCAAAGTGGAAGTGTCTGTGCAAGGGCTCTGGACACAGCGCCGTTTACACGTATGGAACGGGGAACGTGGAGCAGACAGACTGGCCGGCTGATGGGGACAGAAGCAGGCAATGGTCCTGAGCCAAGGAGGGAGGCAGGGGATGGCAGGAAGGGACCAGGGCAGTAATCATTTACTGCTCTGGTCAGGCGCTACACTCAGCATTCTCCAGCTCTCACACAGCCCTGTGCGGTGGGCACTCTAACCCCCAGTTTACAGAGGATGGCCAAGGCTCAGCAAAGTTAGGGCATTTGCCCCAAGCTTACCACTAGTGGGGGGCAGAGCTGGCCAGCAAGCCCAAATCTGTCTAACCTCAGAGTACACGATTTTGCGCCAAGTCTCATGAGCCTATTCTGGGTATGGGCATAAATTACAGAGGGGGCACGAGGAGAAGAGTGGACGGGGGTGGAGGGAGGAAGAGGCAGAAAGTATTCTTCAGTGCCAGGCACAGTGCCTGGTCCATGAAAGGTGCCAGGGCTGCTACTAGCCCCTGAAGAGCTTTCATGCATCTTAGAAAAAGGCAGGCACAGCTATTGAGCCTTGTCTCTTGTGCTTGGAAAGTGAGAAACATGTACAACGGTGCATGGATGCCATGGGAGGGACTCCGAAATGGACTAATTAAAGAAAAGAGAACCTAAGCAAAGTCTAGGAGATGATGGACTGGAACAATAACGAGAAACTATGGGTGGAAAAAATAAGAAAAAAATGTGGGGAAAAACATGCAAGTGAAAGGGTGTCAAAGGAGGCTGTTTGTTATGTTTGGAAGGGAGACAGGGAAGCCCTTTGCCTGTCTGCTCCCAATCCGGACCAGATGCCTGCTGTTCCAGCCTCTCAGTGCACCTGGGAAGCACACCTGTGTGGGTGCTGGCTCCCTGCTGCTTCCCCTGCCGGGCTGTCCGCTCCACATGGGCAGAGGATGGGTGTCCTAGTGTTCTAGGTCCACTTCACACCGAGCAAGGAGGCATCTTCTGGTCCACACAGCCAGACGGTGCTCAGCCTCCATTACAATCGCACATGGCAGCCCTGAGAGGGACTCTGAAATTGATTCATTAAAGAAAAGAAAACCAAACAAAACCGAGGTTGTAGTTTTTGTGGTTTATCTCCCCTCCCTTTCCTGGCCTTGGAGCCCCGCAGAGGTGCTCCTCCCACCAATACCTCGGGTCCCGCTGGAGCTCCGAGTCTGGGGACCGCTGGCCCTGCCTGCACCTGGACTCAGGTCTGTGCCTCTCTTTCCTGCAGGCCTGCGGACAGATTATGCCAAAGTGGTAATGTACCCTGAGGCAAGAGGCTAGTTCA